AAAGGTCTACGCAAGTTTTGGACAGATCCCTCCTTAGATAAAGGAGAACAATTTTTAAGAGATTACATTTTGAATAAAAGGTATCATTTTTTTTTCTTTTACTTGTTTCGTTAAAACTAATGGGTATTGAATTTATTAAAATTCATTTATTTTCTATAATTAATAAATATAATAAATTATTTAATAATTTCCTATTTTTTCATACTTATGTTTATATTTATATTCAGATTTTTGGAAAAAAATGAAGACAGAATTCCATCTTATGATGAGATAGTACACGATTCCGATTCTGGTCTTTCAGCTGATGAAAATACACTAGAGCAACAAGAGGAATTTGAAAGAAAATACAACTTTCGATTTGAAGAACCTGATCATGAATTTGTAAGTCATTATTTTCAGTATGATAGTTTAAAAAAAGTTTTAATTTTTCAACATAACTAATTATTTCTTACAATACTAGGTAAAAAGATTTCCCAGAACATTAGAACAATCGATGAGGAAAAAAGATGAAAGACGAAAAAAACATAGAGAAAAAGTTAAAGAAAGAAAGGAAAGTGAAAAAGCGAAAAAAGCAGAAGACCTCAAAAGATTAAAATCTCTGAAAAAAAAAGAAATCATGGATAAAATAAAAAAATTACAAGAAATAACTGGTAATGAAGACATTTGCTTCGAGGTGAGAAATCACTTTATTTTTTACCTTAATTAGATGTAAATTATTTATTATTCATGTTTATTAAATTGTCTTTGTTTTTTTGCAGAGTAAAGATTTGGAAGGTGATTTTAATCCTGATGAACATGACAAGAGAATGTCAGAATTATTTAATTCTGAATACTATAGTTCATGTGCTGATGAAACTAGGCCAGAGTTTCCTGAACTTGATGAAGAATTAGAAATTGGTAAGTTTTTTTTTTTTTATTAAACCCTGATTATTGTTTTTAATCTTTTGATTAGATTAATTTTAAAAACCTAGTTAGGGCTCATTTTTATAAATTTAATATTTTTATTTTAATTAAATTAACATTTATTATATGTTATTTATTTTTCCATTTCAGAAAATTGGGACGAATGGAATGGGGAACAAAATTCTGAAGAACTTCATTGCGAAGATCCAGGATTTAATGTAAGTTTTTTTTTGTAATTAAATTTGATTGGTTGATATTTTTGGTTTACTAAAAATCCCTACTAATTTATAACTTACACTTACTTTATCCAGATGGATTGTGATTACATTCCATCCAACAAATCTAACATTCAAGATGAGCTAGTTAATGCGACAAAAAGGAACAAAAAAAGAAGACAATCCAAATTTGCTGCTGCAGTTGCCAAGAAAAAACCATTATTCGATCCGAAAAATAAATCTTTTGAAAAATATGTTGATGAGTATTACTCGTTAGATTATGAAGATCTGATTGGGGATATGCCTTGCAGGTTCAAATACAGAAAAGTTGTTCCTAATGATTTTGGGCTTAGTGTTGAAGAAGTAAATATTAAAAAAAAACTTAAATATTTTATTACACTGTTTCATTTTTATTTGTAATATGTATGTTTTAATAAACTTTTTTAGATTTTAGCAGCTCCAGATAAAGAATTGAATAGTTGGGTGTCAGTAAAAAAAATCATGCAAAGAAGACCGGAAAATGTAGAATTATATGATGTACAAGCATACAAAAAGAAAGGGCAAAATATTAGAAAAAAACAAAAGTGTTTACCTTCTTTATATAATGATAGGTAAGAAATTATTGAGTTATTAAAATTCACCGCATTTTAAAACTCGAAAATACTCATAGTAATAACAAAAAAAAAATTTTTTTTTTTAGTAGTGAAAAAACAGATGACAAAACTTCAGATGATAAATCAAATTTGTCTAATAATTTTGAAGATAATTCAAATTTCCACAAGGATAATATTAGTAAGGGAAGAAATGATAGCAAAAAACAAGAGGGAGCATTTGAATCTTTCAAATCTAAGTCCAAGAATAATAATAGTAATAGTAATTTTAAAAGAAGTAAAGTTTCAAAACAGAATGAAAAGAACAATAGTGCTGAAAATAATTTGAATGATATTTCGGATTCAAGATTAATGTCCTACGGAATTAATCCTAAAAAATTCAGAAATAAATTGAAATATGGATCAGGGAAAAAAAAAGATTCTTCTTCGTAATATTATGCTTATGTTAAAATATTAGTTCTACAGCTAATATATATGTATATATATATATATATAATATATGAGTTTTTTTTTTTATAAACCTAAAAATTTTTTACATTAATTACAATAAATAAAAAAAATAATTTAAAAACTATAAATTTTAAATTTCTCTTAATTTTCATTTCAAAAATAATTTCGTATTAAAATTTACTTATTACATTAAAAAACAGTTAATAAAGTAGTAAGTTTTTTTAAGAAATTTTCTAATATCATCGTTTTGCAAAAGTAATTTTTACTATAAAAAAATTACCGACGTTTTTTATAAATAACAAGATTATAAAGTGAAATTTAATACATTTTTATTTTAAAAAATTTACCAAGTTCATGGTCAGGTTATTATAGTAAACGTTATCATTACTTTATAAAATTCGATTTAAAATTTTGACTAAAATTTTAAAATATTAAAAATACTTATTTAAAATTACTTTTATCAAACTAAATTTGTAATAACAAAGTTAAGTTGGCAACCTTTATTAAATTTAAAAGAAACCAGATATACCTAGACTGAATAAATCAGCTGTTAAATCGACAACATTTGGTCACGTGACAAAATGTCTTCTTCAAGTTTTCTACTGGTAGGTTTCATTAATTTATTATATTAAATTGTACAGTTTTATTTTTCAAATGATGCATTTTTTAATGTTTGACATAAAATTTTTCATAATAATATTTGTTACAAACTTTCGTTAACGACTTTTTTAAGTTTTACGTCACCAAAATTAAAACATGATTCATTAAAATTCTCTGTATTTCATTGAGCAGATTGATAACACTGCTTTTAATAATTTTTAAATTGGGAAAATTTAAAATTAATTTTAAATTATGTACTTTTATTTTAGTAGTTGAAAATAATTTTAAAAAAATATGAATATTAAACCTAGGTAATCCATAAAATTGCAACTATATATTTTAAATTTTATAATCTAAATTTTATTTTATTATTTATAATTTTTAAATTAGGAAAAAAAATTAAGTTTCAGAACTAAAAATTTAATTTTTATTCGTAAATAGCAAGCACTCCTACTTTAAAAATATAATAATTAATAATAATAATAATAAAATTATATCCAGTGATAAAATATTAATGTAAAAATATGTTGGTTCACTTTATTTTATTATAATCAGTTTTTTTTTTTTTTTAAATTGCAGACTTAAATAAACATTTCAATTTGCTGCAGTTGCTGTGCAGCTGGAGAACTTAATAAATGATTTGAAAAAAAACAATTTAGATTTGTTCATTCTCAGCTTTATATCTTCTGTGCCCATAAGTAAGTACTTTTTTTTTTTTAAATAAATAAAACTAATAAGTTACTAATTATTAGGGCAGGAACATTTTTCTTTATTTTAAAACAGTTACAAAGCATTACAATGTTTATTTTTAATATTAATTTATTCAGTAACTATTCAATTTAGTTTAACTAAATTATCGAGTCAATTTAAAACTATAATTTACAATTATTAGTTAGTTCCCTTTGCTTTTCAGAGTAAAACATAATATTTTAATAATTGATTATTATTTATTTTTTATATAAATTAGTTTTGTTAAGGAAAAAGAAAGGTTTTAGTTAAAAAGATGCACATAAACTGGAATTATCCCTTTAAATTAAATTTTACTTTCTGTTTCGAGAAACAAATAATACATTTATACATTATTT